TCAACGGCACAAAACGGCAGTGGAACGGTTTATTCGCAAACTTCAAAGCGGTCCTTTTCGCAGGGGGGGGGGGGGGGGGTCTCGGCAGCGGCAATGCATTTTAGCTGTGCTCTTCGCTGGACTCACAAGATCCCTCGAGACTTCAGGTCATGGTTTGTTTATGCAATCCGCTATTAAACCAAAAAGAAGGAAATCATGTTTTACATCGCTGTTTGAGGTCATAGATGATGTTCTTCTGTCAGGATTAAAGCCATGAAAAACACACCACTGCACTTCTGAAACGATGCTGTGAATAAATAAGTTGTTAGGTCACACTTAAGCTTCATACATATGAAATTGCATCAGGGATTTTACACTGAAACAGTGTGTAATTTCCTGTCTCTTATGTTAACTGCGGATATTGACGCATCCCAGAAGCGGCTCGTGGCAAAAATAGAACCCGATCCTATCTCTAGCGGCGCGGCGTGCCGCTTCTGGGATGCACCTGGAAAGTGCTGCTTCGCTGCTGGTTTTTAACAGTCCATAGACTTTAATGGTTTTATTTGAAGCAGTGCAGTTCCGCGCCGCTGATGCTTTCAGTGTGAAATCAGGATTAGTTTCCTTATGCCAACAGGTATACAAGAGAATGGGCTGTACTGCAAAACCACTATTTATTAATCAGGACAATGCATTATGGGCATTTGGGTGAGTTATATATTTACATACATGAACATTATACATAACACAAAGGGAAGTGTGCACTTTTTTTTTTTTTTTAGTTATACCTATTAGAAAGGCTAGTTATAAGCGTGGCTCCAATTTTCCCAGAATGCATTGTGATCGATAACATTACTGGTCATCTCTCTGTAAACAAATCACCAAATCACTGCAAAGATATGCTAACAGAACAGGCCATACCTTGAGGGTTCATCTGTTCATGAACACACCGCTGTGATCAGGCTTCGAGTGTGTTACGTCTCAAATGGTCCGGGCAGAAACAGTCCTTAAACACACTCTGTCTGTTCTCTATCTTTCTGACAGAAAGTGTCCTACAGATGATTCGATGATAGCTCTGCTTTCAGTGCTCATCAGCATCAGTAGATCGTTCATTTCTGAGTCATCCATTCTTTTATTAGATCAATCCTTGCATTGAGTTTCTTCCTTTGATAAAGAGACGTTTTGAAACAACCTGTCTTGTTGAGTATTTTCATGTAAGTCGGGGTGCTTCCATAAAAATGTTTTCGTAACACAGAAAATGTATTATAATACACAACAACAGGCAGATTATGCATGAAACAAAGATGGATGATCAGTGTTTGGTCATGCGTTACCTTCGCATGTATGTGCTGACTCTTTTCATTCCCAGACTGTTTTGCTTTAATAATGAAAAACATGTTTCAGATTATGCTGCTGAGCAGATTTAAGAGCTTTCTGTCTTTTAAGAGCAGCATGAACAACGTTTAAGAAGCTGCCGCTGATGCTGGTGAGCTGCATCCTGCAGCAGTAGACAAGAAAAGAGAGGAAATTGAATTTGCTTCTTTGATTTGATGCCAGTTTAACATCTCCATTCTAAGATGACTAGAATATGTCATTCTTTTATCTTTATTAGCATCATGCTGATCACTTTAATGCAGGTTATAGAGTGGCGGCTGGTGCCAGGGGAACTTGAGCAAACTACGGTAAGAAAAAAAGAGACGCAATAAATCATTGTGTTCCTGGAAAGACTACAGCGGATTGTCAGGAGTTTGTTTCTCTGACTTGACTCTGCCACGCACCTGAACACCATGTACCTGGTTAAGATCACTTCCCTTCATGTTTCTGTCTTAAGTGTTTTTATTGAATTTTTTACATTTATCTTCATCAGTATGTCACTGTACCCTGCCTGAGTGATTTCCTGCCTCCCTTGATATTTTCCCTTTGTTGTCATGAATGTAATTACCCCCTGATTTGTGTCCCAGAGATGTCCATCTGTGTTTCTGTAGCTGCCCATTCTCCCTCTGTGTCCATGGCTTGTCAGTGAAGCAGCAGGACATAAACCGACAGTTTTAAAGCGAGATGGATCCAGTTTTCTAGTACATCTATTATCTGTATTGCATTGATTTTAGAGAAATGGCACATTGGGTTTTGAGTGGAATTGCATGATGGGAAATCTGTACCCCAAGGGTCAAGGAATGTCAAAGTTGTGAGTATTTTGTAACTGATTTGATTTTTGCTGAGAGGCTGGACCGTGTAAGTGTTATTGATGACTTTCAAATAAAAACTAGAACTTGCTACAACATTATGGACACATTCATGTCCAGCTGAAATGTGCTGTGCACCATATCCATCAATCTTTGCACCTAATTTCTGCTGCTTGTCTAATGCTGAGTTGCTAAGGTAACTGATGGGAAGGCCAAGCATCTCTCACCCTAGTGACTTATCTCCTTCTGGGCCAGAGCAGATATAAAATCCCTCCAGTGTGTTCTGGGTCTGCACTATAGTCTGCCCAAAAAAGACCTCCCAAGTTAAGCATTGTAATCATGCCTGACTACCTCAGAGGAGCTCCTTGCCTAATCTCCATGGCTGAGGTTGGCAACCCTTCTGAAGAAGCTCATTTCAGCTGTGTGCATCTAGATTCCCGTTCTCTCTCTTATGATCCAAATTACACGGCCATAGGTAAGGACTGAAATGAAGACAGACCTGCAAATTGAGAGCTTACCTCCAAGAAGAGCACCCTCATCACTGCAGATGGAGCTCCATTTGTCCATTGGTCCGTCTCCCCTTGAATCCTAACATCACTTGTTAAAAGAGCCGCAAGATACTTGAGGCAAGGACTCACTTAGATTGAGGATTTTGTCTTTTTCCAGTTAGGGACCACAATCTTAGACGTGAAGAAGCTGACTCTCATCCCGACCACTTGACACCACCCTGGTGCAAACACTGCATTTTTCCATGATCTCAGCCTGGTCAGGTTGTTCAGCCTGTCCAGAACAATTTGTTCAGATATTTCTTATTTCATTCTCTTAGCTGCATTATATTTTGTACTTTTGCAGCGCTATCTAGCATAGCAAACCTCATTTTACCCAGAGCCCATTCACATGTCTTACTCACATGTCTTTTTACATTCCAGTTTGTGTCGGAACGGAAAAAACTGAAACGGAAGAATGCATCTCGAAAGTATAACGTGTCTGTTTATGTGGGTGCTTGAGGGGTCATCAGATGATTGTGGTTTCTTTTTTCTCCATGTGATGGGTAAAGATGGAAGAAGTTAAAATCCCTTGAATGCTTTTGTGCAGAGGTGTCAGGAACAGCACCGTGTACACTGTCCCTCCATAATGTGTGTCTGATGTTCAGTGGTTGTGTTTTATGGAGGAAACCAGAAGGGCCGTTTTACAGCTGGGGTGGCATAAGAGCTGTTGACACAGTATGTTTTCACCCCTCGTAACTTGTGCTCTGTGAGTAGTTTGTTGGGAATTGATGCCAGCTAATTCACACAGTGACAGCAGGAGCCCTCGTCAGGAATAGTGACACCATTTCACCACAATTTACTTGAACTAGGGAGGATTTAGTTGGGCGAGGGAGTCATTTATGGCTGTTGCTCTTTTGAACAAGACTTTGGTTTGAACTAACTTCAAGAAATGATTGTTGTTGTGATGCAAAAGCAACACTTGATTTCAAATAATCATCAGTCTGTCTTTAGAACCATATTTGATCATTTTCTCAAAGTGACATTAGAGGCTTTACCAATAGCAACATAAGACTCCAATAAGAGAGAAGACTGTTGATAATTTGACACCAGGTCAGTGAATTAAAACTTCATAATGCTTCATCTCATCATTCGGCTGCATTGATTTCCCCTCTGCACTCAGATTTTCAGGTAACCTTATACCGGGGCTGCACTAAATAACAAACATTCAGCAATCAATGTTTGTAATATTGCAACACACACTGTTTGCCCATAACATGTGTTTGGCAAACCTCCACTCCCGTGAATACCTACAGCAGCACATGGAAGGTGCATGACGATGGATAATATTGGATTTGTCATGTCTGACGATGATAATTTCAACAATAGTGCAGATCTACTTTAAATTTAAATTAATTTGTGCAAAATTAAAACTTAAATAACCATTTTTTGTGAGTTTTGCATTTGGTTAAACAAAGCAATTTGTTAATATTGGAAGTTTATAACATCACATCAGTGCAGGTTATATTTGTTTGATGTTCATGTTTTGGTTATTCTTTGTGAAATTGTGTAGCTGTCACTTGTTTGTTGTATTAGGTAGGTGACTAAAATGGATGTAAAAATTGCATTTCTTTCAATTAAAAATAGATAAAAAGCTTATAACTCTGTAGTTGGGGATTAAATAGAATTTTTAAACTACAGTCTACTTAGAAAAATACAACTTGTCTTGTTGGTAACTAAAGAAATGTCAACGGATATTTTTGGCTGATGGTAAATCTCATGTTTGGAGGGAGTTAAATATAGGCGGGCTTTGCATGTTTCTACTCTAAGCAGACACAGCTCATATGGAGAAGTAAGTGGGGGACCCGAATGTTTAACAGTCCTCTTAAATAGCTGCTTTTACATTAAACTAATATTTGATCCTTTATTGTTTATTACTTTGACTATTAAATATTAGCTATCTACTAAAGACTTCCTGTCTGATTTGGGTGAATGATGACTAGATTTTGCTGTGTCCCATAGTGAGCAGCACATTCTTTCCCCTCTGGCTTTAAATCCTGCTCCTGTCCATCCTCCATCCTGGATCTATCGTCTGGAACCCATTAGAGCAGGAATCTCCAGCAGAGCCCAGCTTACACATTAGCATTGCGTACACTGACTCGCCTTGACAGGAAAGAGACACCAAATTGGTGCCAAACAGACAGATATTTAACCTCAGTCAGTAAGGAAAGTAAATGGCTGGAAGAACAAATTCTATGTTTAAACAAAGTCGTTCATCACTGGATGTAAAGTTCAGAGTTAATGTGTGGTTGTAGCTATCTGCAGCTAAATCCGTCTCTTGTCTTTCTTTTATCAGGATGGCTGAGGTGTCACAAGAGGAGAGACTCCAGGTCATCGCTGTAAGCTGTTTACACACACACACACACACACACACACACACACACACACACACACAGTCTGGTAGTTCCTCACTCTCAGAGTGCACATCAGGGCACACTGATGGCTGTAGAAACAACAAGTCATTGCTGCATGTCAAGGTCTGATAGCATGTCTTAATGACTTTTAAAACCCATCTCCTCTACCCATTAGCAAGCATCGGCAGCTAATGGAGCCTCCTTTTTCTGTCTGTCTCGTTGGTATCCCACTCCACTGCAACATCCGTTTGATTCTGTCCATTCAGAGCTCTGTGGTCAAACATCCTAGAAAACATTTTATTGAGCTGTTTTGGGGAGAAATCACTTTACAGCTGTAGACACATTCCACAATGATATCTAATAGTAATAACATTGGCATAATAATGTTTTTAATATTTTAGGACCAATGATGAATGCAAAATTGTGACTAACTCTAGCAGAATGCCACTGTGGTATCTAATTGTTAGTATTAAAGCAGCATTCTCATCGCCACACCAACTAGTTCATACTAAAAATGCATTCTTGTGTAAATGCCAGCCACATGGAGAAGAAATCAGTAAGGAAATCATGAGCAGGCATTGCCTTGCTTTTGAAGCTTTGGCTCATTGGGGTTGAAAGTAGCTACTTTTCAAATGCTGCGTCCCATTTACCTCAAGTCAGAGCTCACATCTGAGAAGGGTCAGAACCACCTGAATCATGTTCCAGTTGCAAGTCAGAGAGCCAGAAACATTTTCTAATTGTGCGTATTGGTCATAAGACTAAAAGCCTAATTCTATGCACAGTAGTGTGGAAAGTTGTTTGTCCCCTTCCACTACAATACAAATGGCAGTTTTCAAATGTGATTTCATTTGCTGAAGTTGAAAAGCCTTCCAAGCAAACACACGGACATGAGGGAGAATATCTGACCTTAAACAGACCTTTTAATTGCCTTTTCACCTCAGCTAAGGTTGGTTTGAATGTTTTTTCTAACAGTAAAGGAAATCTTCATTTGAATATTGCATGTAGATGTACTTGTGTTATCTTTTTCTGATATTGAAATGTGCATAAAAGTGTAAAGAGTATAATATGTCATGTAATTTCTATGAGAAGAAGAGGGGCAAATACTTTTTGCAGCGCTTTAGTCTGAAACACTGCAGCGACATACTAACTAAAGATGAATGGACATTACTGTTTGTGTGAGGCTGATACAAAAAGACAGAACTGAAAAAGGTTTTCAATGATCTCTACAGTTATTAAAATGTGTGTGAGGTAGCCATGTTGGTTTTTGAGGTTGAGGCTGATCAGAACTCCATTTCTAACTTTTCAGACTTGGAGCTCAGAAATTCTGGCTTCTAAATAAAGCAGAACACATAGAAACTTCCTGCATTAGCTTAATGTGCTAAAATGCTAATGTTAAGATGTATATCTACAGGAAAAACATGGAATCCTCTGGCTTTTGGCACATGTTATTTTTCCACAACAACGCTACAGCTAACAAAGTTTCAGGTAGCATTGTGATGTTCTTTGCTTCTGCTTGTGTGAAGTTACTGTTGAGTTAAGTTCCATTATCCTTCAGTCTCCAAGGGGAGCTGCTAGAGCTGCAGCATCCAACTTTTCACTAAAAGTGATTTTTAATAAAATGTAAGGGGAAGTAATTGTCAGATTTTAGTTGAATCATTTGTTCACTACTTTGTATCGAATATAAATGGGGGTACCGGCAGGGCCAGAGATACAAGTTTTTAAACAGGTTTGCTTTCAATATTCAGGAAATAGTATAACTTTATGATCTTAGCATAGTAAATTTGGGAGATTTTGTCCATGTTTTTCCAGTCAAGCATCATTACAGCTTGTTATATAACAATTCTGCTATCACACACCAGCTCACAACAATCCTTTCACTGTAAATTCTCAGTCAGCAGCAGGGTCAGTTGATATCAGCTGCCTGAGTCCATTCTTGTTTGTAGGCATGCTTGTTTTGGGCTCTTTGGCTGTGACTCATCAAATGAAATTTAAGTGTCCAGTTTGACACTTTGACTTGTTTAAACACTGCTCAGGAGCAGAACTCCTCAACCTCTAAAGCATAGCCTCTCATTGTCAGGTTTAAGCACCTAAGACACCACAACACAGTACAAGGAAAGAGACACAAAAGTCAGAATTCTGTTTAAGCTCGAGGAGAATGGAATAAAGTCGCACCAACCCAGTCTCCACTGAGCTGACACTTCCTCAAACCATTCTGGCCTTTGAAATCCGAGCACCTCTATTTATTACAAATTTGGAGCTTCCCTGGTTACATGCCTGAGAGCTGATCTAAAGGGAGGGGGGAAACACAGCTCTCAGTCCAAAATTGTTATAAGTTTAAAACAAAGAGCATTCATTATTACACGAAGAACTTTCAGTGTCTAATCACACGATGAGTAGCAAGCAGTTTGTACGAGTCAGCAATTGACAGAACAGCAGATCTCCTCAGGTCATCCTTGGATCACATTAGGTCAGATTTTAACACCATTAAAGTCTCTTGAGGGAATTTTACAATACAGCAACTGTTTAAGCATTTAAATGGTAAAATCATTAAGCATAAAACATGGCAAATGAAACATTCTTTAATTGTAATGAAAGCATAAATGAAACTATCTTTAATTGTAATAAAAGCATAAAACATGATAATTGAAAACATGAATAATAATTCTATCACACATTCTGAAACTTGTACATGTTGATGTTTACGTCTCGTCACTAAAAACCTGTAGATTCTGTTCTGTTTGTTTCTGCTGTGATGTTTGTAGCATTGTGAGTAATCATGTGTGTGTGTGTGTGTGCGTGCGTGTGCGTGCATGTGTTTGTGTGTGTGTGTGTGTGTGTGTGTGTGTGTGTGTGTGTGTGTGTGTGTGTGTGTGTGTGTGTGTGTGTGTGTGGGTGTGTGTGTGGGTGTGTGTGGGTGTGTGTGTGTGTGTTTGGAAATAGGAGAAAAGGAAGAAGCAGACAGAGATTGAAAACAAGAGGAGGCAGCTGGACGATGATCGACGACAACTCCAGCATCTGAAGGTGATGGCACGCTCACTTGCATCTTTTTTTTTTTTTTATTAAATCAAATGCATAATTTTCCCACTATCTAAGGAACTCCCTGCAAATGGGCGTCATGTTCTAGCAGCAGAACACAGCAGGGATTCATGACAGAACGCAGCAGTTTGACTTTGGGTGAAATGCACTCGAACTCTCCTCTGATAACGAATGTCATCTGCACCCCCTCACGCCTCTCCCTGCGCCAGAACTTATAGCAGAAATTCTGCCGGGTTTGCTGTGTGTGTGTTTTGGGAGTCATGCTCCAAGTGTGAGCGCTGTGGTATGCCCACACAGCGTTAAAACTCATCGTGAAATTCCTCTCACATCTTTCAGTGCAACACGGTGAGATCCTCCCAAACTGCCGCTGTTGCTGCTGCTGTCACGGAATGTTCAGAATGGACAGTAGATAACACCGACAGCTCCTCCACATGCTGTTTACACACACACACATGCATACACACTCGTCATATCAGAGCCAAGGCTATTGTCAGCGATTGTGTCTGCACTATCAAAGCTATTTCAGCCACGGACAGTCCGGCAGCTCGGGGATAAGAGCAAAGGTTTTCTCGTGTATGCGCCTGTGCAGAAGCGTGTGTGTGTTTGTAAAAGTTCCAGTGACCTGCTCTGTTACCTCAGCATGCTCCCACTTTTTTTTTTGTGTGTGTTAAAGCTATTTTCAGCTCAAACCATTGTGCATGTGTTTCTGCGTGTGCATGTGTTTTATTTTTTTATTTTTTATGCATTGCTTTGTAAAAGTACACAGAAGCCCCTGGACAATGCGGTGGGCTTTGACAAAGGAAGCAGATTTTTGTCCCACTCCCACCAACAGGAAACTGCTCGTACACCCACCGCACCCCACTTTTGCCTCACACACGCATCCACACAAACACGCAGAGGGGAAGTGCAATCATGCTCTACGTGCACACCACGTATTCCTTTCACACAGCAGCATGTTACAACTGTTTAGTTCGAATACATGAATTCAGCACTAAAGCAGATGTCATTCATTATAATTAAAGGAGCCATCACCTGTTACTAACGTGGATATATACATCATATTATAGTTATCTGGGGCCATTAAAATAATTTGTATTGGAAAAATAAATTAAAAAGTGCTTTTCTGACCCTTTTTAGTAAATTACGTTTTCTCGCGAGAGTACACACGATATGGCTAAATGCTAAGTGAGTTTGGAAAGGAGGCTGTTTTCTGCTGAGCTACTCCCTTCATTTTGTGTGTGTGTGTGTGTGTGTGTGTGTGTGTGTGTGTGCGTGCGTGCGTGCGTGCGTGCGTGTGTGTGTGTAATCCCAGTTCCGCCCTTTGTCTGCTACGTTAGCAGCTTTTACTCCAAAGAACAATGGAGACAGACGTAACTTCAGCAGTCCAGCTTTACGACCTGCCTGATGTGTGTGTGTGTGTGTGTGTGTGTGTGTGTGTGTGTGTGTGTGTGTGTGTGTGTGTGTGTGTGTGTGTGTGTGTGTGTGTGTGTGTGTGTGTGTGTGTGTGTGTGCGCGCGCACACGCATGTGTGAGCACATAAAGTGATGTCAGGCATTAGTGTAAAAGGGTGTGCCGAGACTGTGAGTGAGTGGAGAGAGATGAGGAGGGAAAGCAGGTTCAGATTCAGTACCCAGGAGACCACGCAGGGCTGGAGGGGCTGCGGGGGATGACTAGTGTTGGATTACACCGTGAGAGTGTGTGCTGTAAAGGCTCTGGGCAGCTGGGCGTCTGAAGTTCGTCACCACAGAGCAGCAGGCAGGGTAACTCAAACAAACAGGTTTTTTTTTCTAAATACACACCTAAACATTCACAACCAAGCTCAGGTTCGTGAACTTTATGATGGATAAAGACTCACATGAGAGACGAGTGAGCAGAGGTCATGTCTGAGAGGGAGGATACTATAAAAGGGGGAGTTTTCTGTTGAAACTCACGTTGCATCAGTGGAGAAGAATTCACATTGAGCCCAGACCCAGATTGTCAACCCAGCCTGTGAAAACAAAAGCTTTTTGAAGCACATTTCATTTGGCCAAGCAGACTTTAGTTTCTCTTTTTTTATTTTCTTCTTTTCCTACGATCTAACAGCTGTGAGCGAGGCACTGTTATATTTACCTCAAAGCATGCCAAGTATTTGCTTTGATGTTTGCTAATCCACGTGAGGTTATGAGGACAAGAAGTCCAGAGAAGAATATATTATGATTTCTGGAATAAACATACATGTGTGTGTGTGTGTGTGTGTGTGTGTGTGCGTGCGTGCGTGCGTGCGTGCGTGCGTGTGTGTGTGTGTGTGTGTGTGTGTGTGTGTGTGTGTGTGTGTGTGTGTGTGTGTGTGTGTGTGTGTGTGTGTGTGTGTGTGTGTGTGTGTGTGTGTGTGTGTGTGTGTGTTCTGTTTTTGTCCTGTCTAATTCACCTTAGTTTGGGAGGTTTTTACTATAATAAACAATTCCCTATCAGTATTCCCAGCGATCTATAACTTTACTCCAGTAATCTCAGTACTCCTCCATGAAATATTTGATGCAGTTAATGAACCGTTTTGTGTCTGTAAACTATGTGGATTTCCAGTCTTGTGCTCAGCTGAGTATAACAGGAGAATTATATATTGGTGTGGAGTTTTAAGTTCAGTGCTGGCGGCCTCGATCCTCTGGCCTGGTGCCACGTTGTGTTGAATTGACAGAGTGTTTGGGAGCAGTTGGTTTGTGTGTCCGAAGCCCTGAGTGGCAGCAGTCAGCAGACACACAGCAGATTGACCTGAAGGGTTGTCAATGTGTCGACTAATCTCTGCTAAAAACAAAAAGAGCACCGACAGCCTCTTAGGAAAAGTATTTTATCTAATCCAAGTTCTGCTAATGAGGATGCTAAAAGTGTCATGTTAAAAATCTAGAGGTCAAAGGTTTAACATGAGATGATTTCATGGCAGCACACACATACATCTAACAAAGCATGTGGAGCCATCTAGAGAAGTAAGAGAGGCATTGCATCTTTTTTTTAAAAATCAGTCACCAGTGAGGTAGAAGCAACAGAAATAACTAATCTTGTGACCATGTTTGTTGTTTGTTTGCAGTCAAAGGCCTTGAGAGAGCGCTGGTTGTTAGACGGAGCTCCGGCAGAAGAGGAGACACAGAGGCGTCTGCAGGAGGACGAGATGAAGACCAAACTTCTGGAGCAAGTCATCCTCAGGTGAACATTTTAAAGGGATATGTTGGCCTTCTGGACATGTTTTCTGTGGATAAGTGATAAACCATTACTACCTTACCTGTTGTAGTTAAAATCCTGAATGGCCTCAGTTCAACGAAATGGAGTTTACCTCTGGCTAACGACTAATCAGAGTAGCAGTTATGTGGATTGTTCAGGTGCTACAAGTCACAAAAACATGAAAAAAATGCCTAAAATATCCAATTAAAGCAGCAATCCAGAGTTTCCCCTCTTCCAGGGAATATGCACATTTTTTTAAAAATACATAAAAGTGATAGTCTGACCCTGTACTGTCACATAATGTAGACAATACTTCTTTTTTTTCTGAGCCCACCCTCGCTCTCTCCATGCAATGTGAACTGAGCGACGTTCAGCATTAGCCAATAACGTTAGACATCCACTTACGTACAGATGTCAATCACAGAGCAGGGGCACACGTTTACGGAAGTCTGATGCAGAGCTGGCAATATTTCTTGTGGACAAGTAAGTCCGTAATGAGCGAGCCACCCCAAATGAATGTTCTTTGCTGATAAACTGTATAAACAGAGTGTCTAATAGTGCTGTAGACACGTTTTAGTCATTATGTTGGTATATCGTATAAAATAAAATAAAAAATCAGCCTAAAGCTGTCATTACTGGGCCCTCTTCGGTTTAAAACTCTGCTCTACATTGAATTTGAAAAAGCCATTGCTAATGGCTAAGCGGTACCAAGTGACGTTGCCAGGACCGTTTCATTAGGCTGCACTGGACTGTTGCCAAATCTCGACCACGTCTCCAGCTGACTCGGCCACTCATGATACGATATGAAGTGATGTGGCTCTGAGTTGCTTGCCTCTTCCACAAAAAGTCCTCCTCCCTTCTATATAATAGGAGAGAAAATATCTGTGTGTGCATGTGTGCTATGGCTCAGAGCACGGGAGCAGGGAGAGGGGTTTAAGATGCAGCACAGATTTTCCACCTCTAACTGGTGCTCAGAGAGAAACTCCGGATTTTTGCTTTAAGACACAAATTATTCAAGTTACTGCAAAGTTTTGTTTTGCAGCAACAATTCGAATCAATTTAGTGTTAATGGTCAAAATGTAAGCAAGGAAATGTTACATTTTTTAATTTTTCTGTGAGAAAATCCAACTCATCGACAAAAAGTCCATAAAGTTGTTAAACACATTAATTAGATTCTGCTTTAAATCCAATTAAACGTACTGTATGTTGACATATTTGACAAAAACCATATTTAAAGCTCATGTTTTTTATGATTTCACTCTCAGATTTACAATCTGCTGTTGTGTTTTGAACCAGGCTGGAGCAAGAGATTGAAGAACTGGAAACAGGCGTGCCTGTCAATAAAGGTGTGGCCAAAGAAAATGGTGAGATGCATGGTAACATGTCATCACAACAGGAAACCACGGCAACACAGCCTGAGCACCTGTGACATAAAGAGAAAGTTAGCTAAAAATAGTCTCTTCATTTGCAATATTAACTTATCCGTCTCTTCCGGAGGTTATTAAAGCAGTAATTCCTCTCTTTCTTCAACACGTTCTCTCTCCCAGCGCGTCAAAAACAAACGCTTGGTCAGCCGCCCTCCGCGTCAGACCCCAGAAGCCAAACGTGCCCTTTTTCGTTACTTATGTGCGAAAAGGGGTTTTCTCCTTTTCTAACTGCAGATCTCAATGCAGCGTAAAACTGATGCGATGGGATGTCCGCTGATGCGGCACCCAACCAGCTCATTTAACCGCATCTAAACCTTAACGTTTTGCTATCTATAACCTTCCCCTCACCCTAACCTTAACCCTCTTGCCACCTAAAACGTTACTCTCACTGTGATCAAGCGTTTGTTTCCCATGCATTCTGACTGAATTTGCCACCCAAGGGGAAGGTTAGAACATACCCTCTGGCGAGGGGGAGGTTACAAATGCCCTCTACTTTTAACCTCCACCGTGGTAGTTGAAACCTCCCCCTCGCGTTGCCTCGGTCCAAACCCGACCAATGACGAGGCGGCTCCCTCCGTTCACTTCAGAGAGCCGGCTTTTAGAGCGACCGACACATCACTAACGTGTTCGCTAGCAAGATGGTTAAGGTTAGGATAGGGGTGAGGGGAAGGTTAAATAACAAGAGGATAAGGTTAGGGTGAGGTACAATGAGCTTGTTTGGTGCCCTGGCTGCGGACATCCCATCGCATCAGTTTTACGCTGCATTGGGATCTGCAGTCAGAAAAGGGAAAAACCCCTTTTCGCACATAAGTAACGAAAAAGGGCACTTTTGGCGTCAGGGGTCTGACGCGGAGGGTGGCTGACCAAGCGTGTGTTTTTGACCCGCTGGGAGTGAGAATGTGTTGCTTTCTTTGTCTCTCTTTGCCTTTCCCTGAGCGCCATCTTTATTAAAATAATCTCTCCATGATGCTCTGGTGCACCCTGTAGGTGAGAATGGAGTAGTGCAGACCCCTAAGAAGGAGGTGACAGGGGTCGAAGCCAAGCTGCTGGGTCCCAGTCCGGAGCAAGCCAGTGAAGAAAACCCAGTCACTCTGGTCTTCATGGGTTACAAGACAGTGGAGGACGAGAAGGAGACCCACACGGCCCTGGGGATGGAAGGGGTGGACGGCAACGTGAAGGCTGAGTTTGTGGTGATTGAAGACGGCGAGGGAAAAGTGGGAGACGCGGCCACAGGAGAGCAGGCTCCTCCCAACGGCAGCATGGCGGAGAAGGAGAAGGCCGACGGAGGTGAAGAGAAAGAGAAGGAAAATGAGAAGAAACAGACCTGCAAATGCTGCACGGTCATGTGAGCTGTTTGTCATCTGTGTGTGTGAGACTGTGAATGAGTGAATACACACCTGTGCTCGTGCAGCGCGGTGTGCCGTTGCATGAGTCTGTGTCGTGTGTAACTTTGTGTTTGTGTGGAGGTGTGTGTCAGGACTGATCAACCAGAGCAGAAGTACAGTTACACAGTCGTTACCCCAACAACGAGAGCCTCTCCGAGCTCCTGCAACAAGAACCACAAAGACTCATCAGTACACTTCCTACTATATTTACTTTCTCTGTATTTGACTTTGATTTCTATCAATATTTTTCTATTTTTCTGTCTTGACATTTATATTGTAGCCTATCCAGTGTGTATATCTTTATTATGGGACTGTGTACTGTTTGTTCATTGTTAGTGTTGGTTGGAGAAAAATATGTATTAGCACTCTAGATTGTTCTGCTACCCAGTGAGGAAAATCTGGAAACTTTAAATTCTTTAAATCCAAACTATGAAGGACACAGATGCTTAAATATAAAAATATATTTCTGTGTGTAGGCCTACCAACTATTTATCGGTCAATTTCATATTGCAATATTGTCTAAGATATTATTTTGAATAGTATTTTAATATATTGATATGAAATTATGTTTTATACAATGTATTTATTGTTTTTTTTGTTTCTTTATGTCGTCTCAAACCTTTCACTGCATGTAAGCTTGTAAAAGCACCATCAGATTTACACTCACGACGCAGCGTTTGTGTTTTCTTAGACTCATGCGCTCATATCTCCGGTCACACACATCGTTCTGTCTATAGTGGTGAAATTAAAGCAGTGTCAGAGTATCTCATTATGTTTAAAAAAACACACACGGCAACAAGGCGACTAAATCATCAGTCATGTTGCAAATATTAGTTTAACAACTAGTGTGGCACGTCTATATAAAGATCGCTGCTTTTGTGTTTGCTGAACACGTTTTATGATCTTTGGATTCTTGAATCACGCCGTCGTTGGAAAGGCTCGATTAAATCTGTTTTTTAAACAATAGGATCTATGTAAATCTTAATGAGGTAGCACTGCATGAAGCCTTTGCAGCTTTCATCACTGGTTCACTCTTTATTATTATTATTATGTGCTCTCATGTTCATGTGAATGTAAATCCAGGGGTTAAATTGGGACGTATTCCTCCTTTATGAGAAGGTGTTTGGCTCATACTGAGGAAAACACTTTAAAACGTTTTGTTGTTTTATGAATCAAATAAAACAAAAAGATACTGTCATTTCATTGTGTTTTTTTTTTTTTTGGGTTGTTGGTGCTTTCTAATCTTGCTCACTCCCAGTTTAACCCCTGATGTTCTGTGTGTGAACCTTGGCCCAGTCACACTTATGTTGTACAAAAATAAACAGAAGCCTTTTAAAAGACTTTTTGCTAACAATCAATCTTCCCAGCCTTAAAAACATCAATCTAAATGTGTTTTTGTATTATTTTGAAGGTGTGATTATGTTTAGAAATTATAAATAATACTTATTTATAGACAACCTGAATTTCAGAGAAGTAGTTTAAAACTTACAAGACAGGTTAGCTTCTGGCTAGTCTGAGTGCAGTTAAGACTAAAATGTGTGACTGACATCTTTAAAAACGGCTCTAAACTACAAAAATTAATAGCAGATTAAACTGAGTATTAAAAAGATTATGTCAGTTTTGCATTACCTCATTTGGGCAAAAAAAATCAGAAATTCCTGTTTTACCTTCTATTTGATGTTTTCATTTGACTGACACAAAGCATATAGATGAACGTACATAATAACGTAAATATGCTGGAACTAGCAAAAAGCTAGTCTCCAAAAACCTTGGCCCCTGGATGCATCAGAAAAGTTATTTAGCTGTTGTTGTTATTTATTCTTGTAAATAATCATAAACATTTTTATGTAAATAACTATAATATGATACTGGTAGTGGTGGTGTTAAAGGTGCCTATAGCTGAGCTGCTGTAAAGTTTAGAGGTTTTGAGCTGTTTTAAAACAGCAGCGGTTCACTTTGGTCTTTGCCGTGCTTGGACTAGCCGTTAGCCCATCAGTTCAGTCCTGTTGGATGTAAACTATCACAACAAAAGCTGTCCACTGATTTATAACAGTTGCACAGATACTCTCACACAAAATAATTTGTAATGATTCAATTGTGCTCAGGTTCCTACACTTTTCTCTTTTTTTTTTCATTATAAGTTCAAATCCTTGATGAAAATTCAGCCTGATCTTTAAACCGAACTTGTTCTCCGTCATTTGAAATTCACAGACCCGTGACAAAATACAGTCTAGGTCCAAGCCTTTTCCATCCTCACTCATTCACCAATTTTATTCATCATCCCAGTCAAACGGTGCTCTCTACAACACCTGCTGTCTGAAAACTCCTGATGTTGGTGCTAATGCAAAGCTCTCCATCCACCAACCGCTGTTTCCTCTGTTCGGCTCAGATTTGCTGGTGAGGCGTGCACATCCTGCAGCCTCCTATAATTATTCTTGCTGGATAAAAGAAGCTCTCGCTGCCTTCAGTGCCAGATGCAAGTCCTGCCTGCGTTTTTTTACACCATCAGAGCGATCCCTTCTTACATTCCAAAAGGAGGTCAGCAGGTTTGGATGGCAAAAAAAGCATGCAGTCTGCGCTTTCCATGTGTACAGATTTATTGTAATTGTACAAATGTGTTTTTGATGGTGACTCTTGTTTTCTTCACATGGCCTCGTTGCAAAGGCTGTATATTACGGTTCACATATGAGTTTTGTTGTCTTTATTTTAATTTAGTTTAATTCTTTAGACAACGTTTTGTTTTTGTTTTTTCGTTCTGTGCTCCTTGTTTTGAGGATCCCCTGCAAACACTGCCTTCTACTCTGAAGGAGCACTACACAAAATTATCTGTCACTTTTTATTAACAACCAAATAAATAAATGCAGCTTGAATGACGGGTAGCATGCGGACTACTGTTTGTATCCTGTACTTTTTTATTTCTAAAGTTTTGTTTTTATCTCCACATCTATAATAACAACCAACTTCATCCAAAGTTCAACATTTTTGAAGGGATGCAACCTTTATGCAGCAGTTTTAACTGGCAGTCTATGTATATTGTGTCTAGATCCATACATTCATCTGTATACATGAGGAATATGTGTAAATTTAATGGGCAGAGGCTTTGCTTCATAGGTAATCTTTGGCATAGCAGTGGGACAATGCAAATTGTGCTAGACCGATGCCTGTTCATCTATTCTGTGGTCATCTAAATGTTTAATCTTGAATAAAAGTGCTTTTTGTTCTCAGCAATTCAGTTAAATTTGTACGTAATTAATCAGCTGTGTGCACAATCGAACCACACAAAGAAGGATGTGAGAATTAATCTAATTTATTCACAAACACATCTGGGGAGAATGGAAAAGTGTCAGTAAAACATAAATTGATTATGAAGTCACGACTGAAAGGGATATAAATGATGCTTGGGATGAATACTGCTGTCAAAGTTTAGAATTAAGATGGTACCAGGACACACTGGAAGGGGTGGAGTCATATTTCATCTTCCAATCAGAAGCCACTGAATATATTGGGAAAAATACACTACTACATTTGGCCACTAGAGGGCATAAACCACTGTTTCTCCATTTCCATTTCTGTGAAATGCATTACTGTGTTTCTGTGAGAAAGTCTAGAGGAGCCAAATAAAACAGGATAATCATCAGACAGAGGTCAGATGTACACTATTCAACACATCCAATATAAAATATATTACTACAGCTGCAGCAGCACATCTGATAAATATATATTCTCTTGAGCTCAACATATAAACCCATATATTTGGTTTGTGGGGTGATAAGAGAGTTTGCCTTTTAATAGAGGTAGCAGAGCTGTGCTGTCCTGCAGGGGACACAGAATACATTGAGTTGATTTTAGCTAACTCCTGCAGCATTTCTTTCCCTTGCTGCACAAACACATAAAGCAATAGAAAAGCACATTTTGTGTTAGCATCTGCAGTAGAGAGCCATAAGTCATGACAATCAGCTCTGCAAGGGTAGGAAAATCTAATTGCTGCCATTGCTATCAGTTATACATAATTATCTTTCCTCTGTAACTTGCTTGTTAGAACAGAAACAGAAACATAATGCAATGGAAAACAATCAAACTCGTGGAAATTAACGAGCAGACCTCAGTGGAGCAGCGGTGTTGCAGCACTAGCTGCATATTACAGTGTGGGCACAATTCACTGGCTACACAACTTAAAGAGCAAGTCACCCCCAAATCATTTTTTTTTGCTGATAAACTATATAAATGAGTGTCTAATTGTGTTGTAGACAAGTGTAGACAATAATTTTGCATTTTTGTGCATTTCAGTTAAAAAAAATTCCTGCCTAAAACTTTCAATGTTGTGCCGACGTAAGGTAAAAACTTTGAACTGCATTTGAATTTAAATCTGTCATCACTATTGGCTAAGAGGTACACTATGGCCAGCCTATAGCTAGTACATTATGATGTCACAATGCCGTTGTGAGCCTGTGTGTGTGTGTGTGTGTGTGTGTGTGTGTGTGTGTGTGTGTGTGTGTGTGTGTGTGTGTGTGTGTGTGTGTGTGTGTGTGTGTGTGTGTGTGTGTGTGTGTGTGGGTGTGTGTGTGTGTCTTGGTCTGCTAGGTCCAGGAAGTGGGAGGGGAGTAAGACTCTGGTAGGGGGCGACCCTTACAAGAAGCGTACTTCACTCCCACTTCATGTTTGAAAAATGCAACAAACGCTGTTGCCTAGCAGGCCGAGAGGGCAGAGCCACTAACAAAAACACACACAGGCTCACAATGGCATTGTGACATCATAATGTACCAGTTTACATCATAGCATACCTCTTAGCCAATAGCGGTGGCAGATTTAAATTCAAATACAGTGCAGAGTTTTTACCCGACGACGGCGCAACACTGAGTTTCAGGCAGAATATGTAAATTTTAACTAAGATACACCGAAGTGCAAAACTATGCGTGTCTGCAGCACAATTAGACTCTCATTTATAGAGTTTATCAGCAAAAAATAGTTGATTTGGGGGTGACTTGCTCTTTAAATGTTTATGAGCAGCAAAGAAATTTTAATATCAAAGATAATCTAAGCAAATAAAAATGCAGTTTTAAAATGAAGGTTCCATTCATTAGTAGAACAGAGACATCTAAAGCATTTTGGCTTTGTTTATATGAAATAGGCTAAAAGATCTCAAAAAGCAACACATCATGACTCGTGCTGAAGAAATGAAAGAACAACAGATTTCAAACACACATCTAAAGCCTTGCTTGGTTAAGGTTAGCAGTCAGAAGTCTTAATTCCACAATAATTAAGAGGCAAGGTTGACAAAATGGCCTCTATGGGAGAGTTTCTAGGCCAAAACCAGTACAAAGGTTTAGCCCACATCTACCCAAAAATCATCTCAACGACCCTTGAGGACACTCGGAAAAATGTTTTGTGGACTGATGAGACATAAATGAAACTTTTTGGAAAGTGTGTGGCATGTCTCGTTACATCTGGTGTTAATCTGTATTTTTGAAAAAAACATCATACCAACATCAAACATGGTGGTGGTAGTGTTATGATCTGGGGCTGCTTTAGGACCTGGACCACTTACTATAATTGGTCAACCATGAATTCTGCTCTTATGTAGCACGTGTTTTTCTGTTTGTTTAAGTTGATTGTTTTTTATTTAAACAATAGGCATTCATGACACCTCCTGGATGCAAATGGCCATTATTTCTACGAAAACATCTTAACTGTGTCTTATTGAATTGTTCAGAAATATTTTGGAGCATTACTTTGTTTAATTACTACAGTTTTGTTTAATAAACAATAAAAAGCACATTAGTTTTGTGGCAAAGTCTTTAGTTTCCCAGGTGTTATTAACATTCATAAATAAGCAACTAAATAAATGTGTATAACTATTATAAAAATGCTATAGTGAACTTAAGACACTATACGTGTCTGAATATTATATAAGATTTCAATAGCAGCACATCTGCCATGCGATGTGTAAGTATAAATTCCATTGTAGGTTAAAAATTAGTGCACAAGAAAATCTAAAATAAAGCATAGCTCATAAAATAAGAGAATGGAGCACTAAACTAGTCACCATTATAAATGGCATTTAGTAAAGGTGTGCATTGGAGAGTCTTGCAATACCATTCATCACAGGTGGCATGATATGACATATTGCAGTACTAAAAGCCAGAAAATATTTGTAATTTTTATGAATGAAATAGGAAAACTCAAGTTAGACACTTCCAGTGTTATTGCGAGATTTAATTTAGTTTATCTGTAAAGATCTTTACTGCTGCTGCCCAAAGGGTCAAACACCATTAATATACATAAAATCATAACTAAACTATAGATAAGCTCACAGCTAAAACAAGGTCAAAAACAGATAATACTGTGTGGAGAGGATAAAACACAGGTAAACCAAAAAATAAAAATAAAAGAAAATCAAATAAGACGATAAGGAGATTGCAAAACTAAGCTAATGAGACTCATCAGGCAAATGACACAGATAAGACCCTTCTGTATACAAGAAGATGAATATACTTTATATAAAACCAACAACACTACAAATAGTAGTTACAAATAGGGGCCACTGGAAACTCAAACAGACTTAAAATACTGCCTTAGTTTAGGTTTGAAGCTCAAAATCGAAGAAAAGTGCCTGACATCCAGTGGGAGTTGGTTCCAACAGGACAAGTGACTTCAGGTCCACACCATGAGGCACATCATGGGTGTGAACTTCCATCTCTGTCTTGTCATTAAAATGCTAAAAGTTAGCTGACATCCAAAAGCACACATCATCTAAACAGTCCAAGAAGGGCTGAATCATTGACTGTAACTCTTAACAGCATAAAGGTGGATCTTTAGTTAATGCCATGCTACCAAAACAATCCAATGGAGACCATTAGAACGAAGGCAGCAAAACTGCTGCCAACAAGCAGTCAGTGTCTGAAGTGTCTCAAGACAAAAATCTCTACACTGCTTTTAAATGTGGTATAACACAAAAAATTGCGATTTTTCAGTGTATCAATTTTTTCTTTCGTCCCTAGAGCAGGAGATAGCAACTCATCAGTAATTTATGTTTATTATGTGAGAATTTTCATCTGAAAGTGTTATTTTTAGCAAGAAATTTAATCTAAAAGAATGTGTTGATATTTTATTAAGTGAACTCATATGGCCAAATTCTTTTAGAAACTATTTTACAAAAAAAATCTAGGAGGAAGTTGTGTGAGATTGTTTCATTTGGAGAAATCGGGATGAATGTGTCACCAGAGTTGCTCCATCCCCACAGAGAAGTTATGTTCTTTGTCCTTTCCGTGTGCTGACTCAGAGGAAGCTTTCCATCATCCTGGACCCTGACCACTTGAATTAGCTGTACTGGAAATTTGCCGCGGCCTAGTTTTTCCCCTGAAAATGATGGCCGTCTTGTCCAATCACGGCTCAGAAGAAGGCTAGGCCCCGCCCCTTGTCGGCTCTTGGGGCTGCCTGGACTAATCAGCGCTCGCCTCCGCGGGTTCAGCCATTTTGTAAGAAAAATCAAGCAAGTCTGCCGCCCTACCTTCGCTTCAGACCTGCAGTTTTTTTCTTGTGCAATGGACGGGTAAGTGAAAAAACCGGACTTAAGACTTACATTTTAAAGATAAACTACCGCAGAAGTCAATTTATCCCTTATGTTGTCCGTATGCCTTAATGCTATAACTTCTTAGGTTGTTTCGCTGGAATAATTAGACCTGGGAACTTTACTCGAAACAGTTTCTTTCTTCAAAACATGCAACAGTTAGCAGGAGCGGACGCTAGCTAGCAGCAGCTAGCCACTGGTAGCGTCACCGCTTTCCGTCATAATTTATGTGAGTTGTTTTCAGTTATTTCACTGCTCTGTGAAGGCAGAAATTGCTGTTAGCAAAACCGACCTAATGTCCTAAATACGCGCTTTTCTTTATTTTCGTCGAAAACTCGGCGTTTTTCATCAAAGAACGGTAGTTCGCGGTGGCTAACTGTACCTTTGTAACTTCACGGGAACTCGAGCTGAGCTAAAGCAACGTGTCTCATTTCCGCATTCATTTGTTCGCGGAGAGCCAGGGCCATGTTGAAGATGTCTGGCCCGAAGATCTGATGTTGATTCAATCAGAGACCTCAGTAGCGCCTAATCTTATCGGGGTAAGATGTTCAATAGCGTATTGTTTACTTGAAAGGCGTTTTACTATTTTGATCACCTGGTTTAGATCGGTTGAAATACTTCCACGTGAGGTGTTTAGAGCTCACAACATAGCTTAAAACTGGAATCATTTGTTTTGAAATTCTCCTAATATTTCACTGTAAAGGTTTGTTTTTGTTTTTTTCCCTACAGCCGCCTAGACGCCACTGAGTTGTACCCTCTGGGATCCGGCTACGTCCCTGAAATTGAGTATGTATTTGTGAGCTGTTAGACTGGTTAGGTACCAGTCAGGTTGGCTTCTGTCGGGCATTTTGAATTTCATGTTTTCTTAAACCTGAGAGTGAAAAAGAAAAGAAAAATCCGATTAATTTTTCATCTGACTTTGTTTTCGCCCTTTTCAGCAGTGTCCATGATATATCCGTTGGCACAAAGGTAAGTGAACCTACTCCCCTTTTTCTCTTTTATTTTCACCGCACTCCGTTTACTCGTCAAATTTAAGCTATCGTGTTGTTTCAGTAAATGGTGAAGATCTGTTACGGGTTAGACCCGAAGCCCCCTAGCTCTTCCTCTATAATTGCAGAGTTTCGAACCTGCAACCTTCTTGCTACGAGGCAACAGTGCTACACCATTACACAGCCCCTCTTTATGTATATATGAAATACGATTAAAGGGTCGGTGAACGGGGCTTCCAGTTTAGCTATGGATTGTGAATTGTTTCAGAATTCACTTACAATAGATTTTCTGAGGTGGGGCTGCTATGTTTTCCTGTCTGTTTGCTTGTTGCTGGTGAAATGAAACTTCCTGTTATTTTTTGTATTCCTTAATAGTCGGTTGGCCTTCCTGGACTATTACACAGACTTCTAACACTTAATGTTTTTCTATCAACCTTATTTTGCTGAAACTTGCAGAATAAATCAGTTAATCTAATCCTAACTCTTAAGTATTGATTTTTATTTTCTCCATAGTGTACCTTAATGAAAAAGCTCCTGTATGCTGGCTTGTTGACTAAGAGGCACACATCCTTCTAAAGTTTGTACTCAATAAAAAATCCTTCTCAGGTAGTATTCCTTGGTAACTGGGCTTGGGGCGGTTATGTGTACCTGGACTAATTGATCACAGCTCTGAGCTGTAACCGTTCTCCCACAGCCGTCTTCAGCTTTTTAGTCAAAGGTTTTTACAATGTTTAAACTAGAGCAGAAGCATACGTGCCCATTAGTGTCCTGTCACACCTCTAACTCTCTTAATAAGGTCAGTAGTTTTAATTTTTATTAACTATACTGTTTCTGGTTGGTAATTTGGCTGCAGCTTCTTCTGTTATTCGTCCTTCCAACGTTTGCCATTTTGTGAGATTTAAATGTGCTGTGGTAATGATAATGATGAGTTATGGAGCCTTGCCTTGCTGGAATCTGTAATTACTTAGTCTGGGCAGAGTGTCTGAAATTCCGTGGTCACATTCCGATCCCCCTCCTCCTCCTGAACCCCCATTGAGGCACAGATCCCTCCCCCTCTGCTGACGAAGGCTGGTCACAGGGAACAAGCATGTCTGTACCTGTTCTCCTCTCCTTTGTTTCTTTCCTGGGTGTTTCACCAACCAGCAACCTGGCAAAGACCATAATAAAATGTCGTATCAGACTTGGACCAAAGTTCAAATTAAGCACATCCAGTTTAGTTTTTCTGGAGATGTGCAAACAAATGTTACAGTCACAGTTGGTGTAAAACGGCCACTTGACAGTTTAACAAATGATCCAGCTTTGTCAGCACTCCCTGAAGGTTGTTATTAAACCATCCTCCGCTCGCTCCGAAGATATAAACAAGTCGATCAGCGTTTATTTATCTTGAGCATAAATACGTTTAAGACCTTCACTAGCAAGCTTATTATGGGCTTTGTTTATTTAGTCATTGCCTTGTAACTTTTTCCAGACTTCAAAAGTTGTAGTTTGTATGTAGTTGTGCAGTTTTGAAAGAGCTCATGTTTCTGAACTCAAATGCAGACTATTTTAGGTGTTAAGTTAATAGAATGGGGAAGTACAGAGACGGGTCCAGACCACGGTCCTGTGGAGGAAGCGAAGGAATCTAGCTGTTCTTCCTGTTTGTAGTTTGTCTGCTGACTGATAAAGTCACACAGTGAGGCCACAACCCATTTGTCAGGTTGGAGCCACTTCCTTGATTTCTCATGATCCGTTTGCCCTCGGTTTAACTTTTTAAATGTTGCGTTTTTATTTAAAAGAAATTTCTTGCCACCAATTCTGAGCTCCAACACCGTGTCTAAAGCATTCAGATATTTTAAAATACTGAAGCTGTTGGGTATTCTAGCTTTGATGTGTGTATTTAATTCAAGGGTAAGTGGATTGAGTCAGGAATCAACACGTTTCATAGCATGCTTAAATGTGGAAATCCAGATTCACTCTGTATGTTAAACTGCTGGTAAATGTTGGTCTGGGTTTCAGAAAAGTCAAAACAATCAAACAAAACATTTATATTGCAACGTTCTTTAGAGATTGCTGGATTTCTTTTTCTAAATCTTGCCTGCTGTTAAGCAAGCACAGTGTTTTTGCATATTTTGATGTGAGGTGAGGAGGAATGTTGCCAAACCTGGTGGTTAGAGATCTGTTTGCTCTTCAACCACTAGTGTCTTTGCGGCTCCATATGCACACGCTGCTGTGTAACAATGCTCCTAGTCTCAGGCTGAACAGGACATCCATTGTGGAGTGTTGTCGAGCTTACACTGCTGAGCCACTTCTTGTGACTTCAGTACTTCATTTTGCTCCACCATAAACACATTGAGCTGTGAGAACAGTGCTGAGATGGCTGTTTATAGACATGCTAGGAGAGTGTAAACAAGACGCTAGTGTCAACTTGTATTATAAAGGTTTTGTGTTCAACCCTCTTCCTGATTATATATGTGATCTACAAAAAATGTGACTGCTGTGGGTTCACGCTGGGTGACGACATTGACATACATTTTGCATGTTGCCCAAGGCTAAAATGTGGCATGTCATTTTTAGGAATTAGAATTACTTTTTACTGTGAAAGAGGAGAGAAAAAAGAGTGACTTGGATTTTATCTGCAGAAAGTTTAGAGCACTATGCTTTTCCTGGTGAAAAGGATGGAGTTTTGCCAAATCTTCCTTTGGTTATCACATTGCTTCCTGCTTTATCTCACTGCAGCTCAGTAACACGAGACCTGTGCTCTTTTACCAGTCATGCTGTGGTTTCAATGAGCACAGTGAAGTGAGCCGTTGTTTCTCTTTTTTCTGCAGAGGGGATCAGACGAACTCTTTTCTTCTTGCATATCCAACGGACCCTATATCATGAACTCAGGTAAGGGGGGTTGCCATGGAGGGTTGGATCCTTTTTATTTAGGGGCTTGGCGTGTCTGTCTTGTTTGTGTTACCATGACGATCAATCCATTATTCACAAAGAACCAGAGCCCTGTGTTCCCTCCCTGATTGTATCAGCTTCTGTTTTCTCCTGCAGCCAGTGGCAACGACAGCAAAAAATTCAAAGGTGATGTCCGCAGTCCTGGTGTTCCGTCACGTGTGGTCCATGTACGCAAGCTTCCCAACGACATCAATGAGGCTGAAGTTATAAGCCTGGGACTGCCTTTTGGAAAGGTCACGAATCTGCTGATGCTGAAAGGCAAAAACCAGGTAAGAGGAGGAAATGCACATCTGTTCACCCGACCCATGTGGCTAGCAGAACCGGTTGAACTTTTTTTCGCGCTAGAGTCTGGTTTAAAGGATCTGCTTTCTGTCCTGACCTGAAATTCTAACAATGATCCTTTTGTTACTTTCTAATGGCTTTTGTTTGTTGATGAACAATTCTCTTTTTGCAGAAGTTTCTAAGTCTCTTGGTTGTCTGTCTCTTTTACTCCAGAGCAGTAAATCCTCCCGATTCAAAGCTCTAAGATGTGCTATAGGATGGTGCGTTGTGTCTGATAACAGAGACAATAAATGTGTATCTTCTCCACAGGCCTTCCTGGAACTCAACAGTGAAGAGTGTGCACAGACGATGGTGAGCTACTACTCTTCTGTCACCCCCGTCATCAGAAACCATCCCATCTACATGCAGTACTCCACTCATAAGGAGCTCAAGACGGACAACTCTCCAAACCAAGTGGTAAGGGTTCAAGTTGCTGCAAGGTGTTTGAACTACAAGTGTGGTTGCGTCTGAAAACTTTGCATGTATCTTCAACTTGTTTGGGTGTTTTACAATGCTAGTCATTGCTGATCCACATCTAAGCAGATGTCCTCCTCTTTAGCGTGCCCAAGCAGCTCTGCAGGCAGTCAACGCCCTCCATGGAGGTGGAATAGGAAGTGTGGCTATTTCTTCAGATGCTAGCAGCATGGCGGGAGGAGTAGCCCAAAGTCCTGTCCTCAGGGTCATCGTGGAAAATCTATTCTACCCCGTCACCCTGGATGTTCTACACCAGGTACAGGCAGCCACTGGTTGGATTAATCCGGAGTTTAATTCTAATGCCATTCACCCGAGTTTCAGATTACGGGGAAAATGGAAGTAGTTGATGCATTTGGTTGTTTTAATGTAATCATCATGTTTGGTTTCCATTCTGAAAATCATTGTCACGGACAGCGACCACTCTTGATCTTTTTATTGAGTTCGGTTTCCTTTGACTCCTCAAGCTGTGACTCCCGTCTCCTCGTTTTTCTGCTGAATATTTTAAATGTCGTCTTCGAAGTTAATAAAATTAGCTTAACTCGTCTTTTCTCTGCAGATCTTTTCGAAGTTCGGTACAGTACTGAAAATCATCACTTTCACCAAGAACAACCAGTTTCAGGCTCTGATCCAGTATGCTGACGCCATGACAGCTCAGCACGCTAAACTGGTAAGACTGGTTTCTGTCAAAGGGGTTAACCTGATGTCAGTGGGCAAATAACTGACTTCCCTTAATCTGGCTGTTTAGGTGGTTCGTAATCAAACCCGTTAAAATAATATTTTTTCTGATCAACCCTTTTACCTGGTCAGAAGACTAATGGTTGATTCTTGTTCCTTTAGTCCCTTGATGGCCAGAACATCTACAACGCTTGCTGCACCCTGAGAATCAGCTTCTCCAAGCTCACCAGCCTCAATGTCAAATACAACAATGACAAGAGCAGAGATTACACCCGCCCAGACCTGCCCACTGCTGATTCACAGCCCAGCATTGACCATCAGGCCATGGCAGCAGCTGCTTTTTGTAAGATTTCAGATGTTTCCTTTTTTCAGTATTTTTAGAATAGAATAGAATAGAATAGAATAATCCTTTAATAGTCCCACAAGGGGAAATTTGGTTGTGTCAGCAGCAACATCACACATATACAAACAATGCAGGACACAGAACAGAAGCACAGTTATTACCTATTTACATCATGGACAATAGTTACCAGAGCAGAGTACAATACAGTTGTTTATATAGGCGCACACATAATGTGTAAGCATAGCAGGATACTGAAGATGTTAAAATAGTTTTAAAAGTTTAAGATGATTTAGTTCATCTTGACACAATTGCAGTTTTAATGGTACTTGGTTTTGCAGCTGCTCCAGGTATAATCTCAGCCTCTCCCTTTGGAGCTCATGCCTTCCCACCAACCTTTGCCATCCAGCAGGCAGGTCCGTAGAAAATACACTTGTGTGTTTTTTGCTAAATAAAACCTGAATGTGCTTTTAGTTTGATTTATTTTCTTCCTCATCCTAGGTCTGTCAGTTCCTGGTATCCCCGGTGCCTTGGCGTCTCTGGGTGTGGGTCACAGCAGCATGGCAGCTGCGGCAGCAGCAGCAAGCCGGCTTGGCCTGTCAGGGCTTGCTGCTGCCGGGGGACATAACGTCCTGTTGGTCAGCAACCTGAACCCCGAGGTTAGTACCCTTAGGCTTAAATCAGCCCTTCGACCTGTTTGTCATTTCACCGATTTAATTAGAGCCAGTTTCCCTCCTCATTCACCTGGCATTATTTGAGTCAACAAGTTGAACTGCTACTGTTTATTTGAAGTGTCCAGGATCACTGAGGCGAAAGCTTCTTTCTTTCAGGACTTCCTCGTGTTTGACCAATCCTGCTGTATTTCTTTACCTGCCACTTTGCTCACTGTAAATTTTAAGTTTATTTAAAAAAAAACTAACTTCCTTTTTGTTTTGAAAGAGCTTACCATTTCATACTTTCATTTTGTCCGTTAGTTATATTCATTCTTGAGTTGTTGGAGAGACAATATTACTTTATAATGGTGGGTTGTACCTTTACTATATATTAGTATGTAGTCTGTAGTATTCTGCCATCCCCAGAGCATTACCTGTAGTTGTGACAAAGTTTGGTTATCTATTTGTAGACTTTGAAACTTGTAGCTGGATTTAGCTGTTTTTATTTATAATTGTTAAGTCTAAACAAACAGGATGTAAATTTAAAAGTACATATTGTCTCTGCCTTTTTCTGTATTTCATTGTTAATCTTTTTTTCTCTTCTTTTTCTTCTAGTGTTCCCATAGTGACAGTGCATTTTAATTTAGCCAGTTCTGCTGTCTGAAGTACTACATTTCTTTGTGTATACTGACCTTTTATTTTATTTTTGTAACTTTTTCTCTATTCTTTCTGTCCCCCCTCCCTCCTTATTTTTAAACCCCCATCACCTTGTTACCTTGCCAACTGACTGCACGCCCAACGACCACCTGTTCCTTCTGTCCTCCTTTCCTCCCCATCACTACAACTCCCCCACCCACCTCCGCCCCATCATTACATGGCCCTAATTTGGATTTGACACACACATAAATGCTCATCACCACCTTTTTTGCCCCCATCATTTTGCCACATCTGCCCCTTCACATCCATCCTCCCCTCCATTTTTGACACTTTCCAAATCTCTTCCTCCTGTTCTGTCTTCATCCTCCACATCCCTCATGCCTCTCCTCTCCTCCATGGTACTGTGGCCTTCCTGTGGACCTCGCCGCCTGTGGCCTGCGGACATGTCCCGACTCCACTCCACTGTCCTCCACTCCGCTCCGTCTCTTTTACCCTGTCCCCTCTCCCCTTTTGGCCCCGCTGCTCCTCCCTGCTGTCTCTAAAGAGCGTTACGCCACACTGCCTCTTTATTCTTTTCGGTACGTTATCATCCTTTCATCTCCTTTTTTATTACTACTGTTACCTGGCGAGGTGGGCATGTCTTGTCTCATGTTGTTGGCTTTGTTTTTATTTTTTTAACCATCATCGAGCTATGGGGCTATGAAGGGTGGGGGTGTCTGTTTTGGGGTTTGTATGGTTTGATTGTTGTGGGTTTGTGTGAGGAGAGTAAGGTGGGACACCACTGAGCTGCAGCATTTCATGATTTGAAACGCAGTGATTTATTTTTCTCAGCCAAACAAAACTTAACCTGCAGAAATCCACTTAAATACAAACAAAGACTTGTCTACTTTTTAATTTAAACCTTTTTTTGAAACTCTTACATGCAATTTCGGAAATGTTTTGTGCATTTAAAGATGAAATGCTGCTGCTTTTATTTATTTTTGACCATGGGCATAAATGCCTCTGGTTTTGCTAGTGCGGTATTTGGTCGGTTGCTGTATCGTAGGTATGTGCATGAATAGTTTATTTCTGCATGTTTCCATCCGGGCTTCCAGTTGGCCGGTTAATTAATCTTAACTTTAGAGCAATCAAATCAATCAAAACTACTCACAACTCTTACTGATTTATGTCTTCAAATGACTGCCTCTCTCTCTTCAAACTCGTTTTAGCACTCGTTAGTGAATTAAGAGGATTTAGGTTTAGTCGTTGCAAAACCAAGAAGATTTGTAGATTAGAGCAACGATTACGTGAATCAGATTATTCATTAGTAGGATTATAAATCTCCGGATCTCTAATTTGGCGGTTTAGTTTTCGTTGCAGTGATTGGTTGTGTGGCTCCTGTTTAGATTGTGTTGTAAACGGTCTTTGCTGCCTTGGTGACACCCTCCCCTTCCTCCCCAGGTGTGTATGGCGATGTGATGAGAGTGAAGATCTTGTTTAATAAAAAGGAGAACGCTCTCGTCCAGATGTCTGATGGTACCCAGGCTCAGCTCGGTAAGCTACACTCCAGCCACACAAGGTGCAATTGTTCCCTCTTTGATCTTTTTCTTTCATCTCCCCCATTTCTATTATTTTGCCATCTATTGTTTCCACCCTTTGGTTTGTGAGATTCTACTGGTTTCATTCACTGGTCTGTCTGTGTAATGCTCCCTTCTCTCGTCTCAAGTATTTGGTTATTCATTACAGCTTTGATGTTTCTAAATTGTTGTGATAAACTGAACCTGAGTCTTGTAGGTAAGGGTGACTACTGCAGATGAAATGAGTCAGTAGGGAGAGTAAAGAGCCGGTCTTTGTTTTGCAGCAATGAGCCACTTGAACGGCCAGCGTCTTCATGGCAGGGCCATGCGTGTAACGTTGTCCAAACACACAACAGTTCAGCTGCCCAGAGAAGGCCACGAGGACCAGGGCCTCACCAAGGATTTCAGCAACTCGCCTCTGCATCGTTTCAAGAAACCTGGCTCCAAAAACTACTCCAACATTTTCCCACCCTCTGCAACTCTCCACCTCTCCAACATACCGTACGTTCGTCCTTTCAGCTGCGTTTTGGTCGTAAACACGTGAAACATTGTCGGTTATTAATTACGATATTTATGTAAATGTTTCAGCTTCTGAATTCAGTAATTGTAGCCCAATGCAAATCTGTCGTTACCTTTTTGTTTCATTGCACACTCGCCTGTTTGCATGTAGGCCTTCTGTGGTCGAGGATGATCTGAAGAGACTATTTGCCAGCTCAGGAGCTACAGTCAAGGCCTTCAAGTTCTTTCAGTAAGTCGGCTCAGTTACATTTTTTCCTGCTGTCTGCTCGAAGGTCAGCATCATCAAACCTTTATCCTCTAACAGGAAGGACCGCAAAATGGCCCTGATCCAGATGGGCTCAGTCGAGGAGGCAATCGAGTGCCTGATTGAGTTCCACAACCATGATCTTGGGGAGAACCATCACCTCCGAGTGTCCTTCTCAAAGTCCACCATCTGAGTGCCTTCCACCCCCCTTCTGCTGCCATCTGAATGCTTCTGTTCTCTAGGTTGCCTTCAGTGAAAATGGCCTTCATATCATGTTTATAGTGGTGTGGTTTAGTTTATTTTCCCCCCTCTGTTGGAGAATGTTGCTCATTTATCCTGTTTTCTGGGTTTGGGTATCGGGTCCAGACCCTTCCTGTCCTCGTGTTCTGTTCCAGCTCCAAAGACCCTAAAAGATCTAAAAACAGAGCAAGTTCAGGTTCTGATTCATGTTTCATATGGAGGACAGAAGGTTGTCGTCAGCATTCCTTTGTACCATGCACATAATATAGTGTAGACTTGTTTACATCTGCCTATTTGTTGTTCAGATTTGAGAGCAAAACTGTGTTTTTATGTTTTCCTGCTCAGCATTGGACACGGCTTCTGAGGAATTCTGGTAAATGAGCAACGTTCTACAGTGAAACGTGTTAAAGTAGAGGCAGCTTTCCCTCAGACCAAATCGCTTCAAAACGCCCACAAACGCAGATCGCGCCAGACGCAACTCGGCGTGCCTTTTACTGCGTTGTTCAAACGTCCACATAGGCCTTTTTAAAAGCCACTTAGATCCAGTTTGGCCAGTCGGAAACGGTTAAAGATGAAGAATCTTTTGGTTTGAAACATCAACCTATTTTATCTAATTAGTACCCACCTTTTAATGTCTCCTCTCCTCTGTGGGGGTCCACACCACCATAACTCAGATCAGACACATTTTTCTTTTCTCTACAGTCTCGTGCCTTACTTCACCTCGGCCAGCACGCTCTGGCCTCGTAAGAACTTACCTGCCTTTCTTCAGACCTAGGTATTTACCAGCATTGTTCAGTTTAGTGGGTTAAGCTCATTCGATCCCCTTTTCCTTTTTATTTTCTATAAATATCTTTGTTTTATATGCATTTATCCTGATATGTATCTAGAAACTATGAATGTAAGTCAGTTAGATGCTTTCTGTTTTCTAGGTGATGTAGCAGTAGGCGGTGTTTAATATCCAGCTGCATTCAGCCTCCCTGTCCTACTCATTACCGTTTAGTCCTGCTGGGACTTTACAGCCTCGTTTAGCCAGATTCTATTCACATATATGTGTAAACTTATATATCCAATAATCTTTTTTTCTTTTTAATGTTAGAATTTACACGTGGATCTTGTCCAAGTTGAACAGACGTGCTTGTAGTGGTTTAGTTTGATGGCTATTGCAGTGCCTTGAGTTTTTATTCCGATGCTGAGACAAGCCTGGTCAGTTGTTTACCCCTCTTTCAGGTTTTTTCTCTTACCTGCCTTCAAAGATGCCTTCATACCATAATCAGGTAAATCCACCTGAGAGCAGCTGAAGGGCATTTCCTAATGACATATTTTTTCTTTATTCAGACTTGCGGGCTGTGAAAGCCGCACCCATTCCCTTGTCGTTGTCTTATTACACCAGTCGTGCACTTTCCCTAATGGTTAAGTCCAAGTTCGCCACACGATAGTCTTAAATGTCGCCACATTCCTGCGTGCCTCAAGCACCGGTTTCCACAAACTCGACCACTAAAGTCTTGGGCCGTGAACAGATGAGCTCTGTTTCTATTTTTGTAAAAGATTCTTATGCATGACTTAACTAAGCTTCATGTAGCTGCAGACGGTTTTTGCTGTTAAGGACCAAAGTGTGTTCTCCCCCTGCTGTTGTGATTTCATTGAGGGTTGTTTTTTATTTTATCTACAGCGACACAAGGTTCAAGATGAATTTTCTGTTGCAAGTCACACCTACTTCAGTGTAGCGCCTTATACTGTATTGTTTTTGTTCCAGTTGCAGAGCCGTCTTTGGTAGTCGCTTTAGAATCAACATGTAATTGAACACAGTCCTAGCTGTGTAGAAGATTATACACCTCTAAATGTTGTTGAAAGCTTTTACTTTTTTCCTTTTTATACGGGGGTGGGGTGGGCTTGTATGAGGCGGGGTTGATGATTGTATATATTCATGGTTTTGTACCACAGAATGATTTGGATTATATTCACTTTACGTTCAGAACATGTATATTTTGATAAACAGTGCAGACATGTTAAGCTCTTCTGGGCTGTAAACGCATAAAGATCTTTTGTAACACAAAGATATTAAACCTATCTGAACACACACGTGACTCTGTATGTGCCCCACCCCTCTTTATTTTGCCATTCTTGTCTTTTGCATTTTCTGCTTCCTTCAATAAATCTTTAGTTTGTTCCTTCCTTCATCCGGGCTCATTTGATTTCTCTCCTTTCCTGGTGCTGACCCGTACTGGTAACATTTTCTGCATTTCTCAAGTTTAATACTGGTGGCTTTTTAAGCCTTCTACTGTTTCTAACTTCATGCTCATCTCATCTGGACTCTGTTCTGCTCTGGTACGAACCAGCCATGCTGATTCAATATGCCACATTCCTAATATGAGTCTTTGTTTTGCACCATTTTGCTTTTGACTCTTGCAGTTTTGCAAGTTCTACTTAATGCTTTACCATGAAGCCATGTCGTTATATGAAAACCGAGTCCTATCAAGTTTATTCTAACTTCATGAAGCTACTGGAGATATCTGTCATGGATCTTTCTCACTGTTTCTTAGCAAATGAGTGGTTTATAATTTGTCCAGAAGGGGGCAGTGTTGGTCTTTCAGAGAGCTCAAATGTGACTACCTGCCACACACACAATGTCAATAGTTAGTGGCTTGATCTCAGGAGCTTCCCTGGGCTTTCTGACATTACACGTTTTTCTTGGGAGTCCTTTAGAGACTAGTGGTGGGGATTAGTTTCAGATCGCCTGTGATTTTTAAGAAAGGGATGAGGCGAGAGAGTGGAGGGTGTCTATTTCTGCTGAAGGAGAGCAGGGTTTAGTTATTTAATGACCACAGCTTGTGAAGTAAGATCTTTAAATACAGCAAGATGGTTTGAATTTCACTCGCCCTGCTTTCCAGTGCCTTTGTTTAGTGGGAAACTACCGTGAAGGTTAGATTTCAGCCTCTCCATCATGGCAGAAATGGTTTAGGTCTGTAAACGAGGGCTACGTTTTCATCACCTCGTCTCCAAGCTTCATGGTAGAAATGAGTTTTAATCCTGCTTTGATATTTCAGACCCTTGTTTACCAGGAGCACTTCTCTCTGCCAGTAATTTAGAGCAGAACCTGTTCCCAGAATCCTCTTTTAGAATATATTAAAATTCAAAGTGATTGCATAATTAAAGGGAAAGTCAAAAGACGATTTTGTAGGTTTGTTTTGTGTTTGATTCACTTTGGATATGAACAGAAATACAGGAACCTAAGTCCTCATGTAACTGATAAACTATAAAATACGATAGCTTTTCTGTTTTAGTGCCATTTCTGCATTCAGACCCTTGGCTTGTTTGCGTTTATGGGTAAATAAAACCATGTGAGTCAGATTTTTTACCACATCTGGCAACATTTATTTACATTAGTACTGCAGTCTCTAATCAAGGGAATACTAGCAAACACCAAGGCCACGCAAATGCAAACCTGCTGGTTATCCGGGGGCTGAACAAGTGGTTCCAGTTCTATTCAGTTTGTGGCTCATTCAGTCCTAAAGATAAGAACACATTGAATGTTTTTGGACATTTAAATGTTTTTAGCCAACTTCAAGAGTCAGGATCTATTTAGCATCATTTCTGTCCCATGTGATGAGATTAGAATATTCTAACAGCTGTTGTAAAATAAAGAATTGCAAAAGCCCCCCCCCCCCCCCCCCCCGAAATGACTTTTTTTATCACACGTCAATGTTTCAGATCAGCAGATAGCCTGAATAAGTGCAGTTTTCAGGCCCAGATTACCTATAGGATTAAGAACCAAGTGAATAGCAGCTCTCTGGTCGCATGAAGCCCGCTAAAAGATCACAAAAAGCAAAACTTCCTCCTTTGTTCTGAAAAACTGCACGTACCAAAGAGAATAGAATACAGCTAAAGCAGTACAAGCTTTAACATGTAGTTAAGATCAGAGGTCTCGTTGATTCAACAAAAGAGATAGTACAGGCCAGTTTCACACTTATTAAGAATATCTTTATAATCCCCAATAATCTGGTGGAAATATGTTGTGGATTGGTGCGATAGATTAGGAAAGTGTGTTCCGTTAGATCTGGAGTAACCCCACATCTCAGGAAGATATCCTGCAGTCAAACATGGTGGTGGCAGTATGATGTTCTGTGGCTACTTTTGGATGACTTGCTGTAACTGGAAATAATCCACCAAAACATCTGACCTTTGACCCTAAACGTGCCTTTTCATTAACCCTTCACACAAGGTCAGGTTTGGAAAGCCTTTTTTACCCCTTGAAATGTGACAAAAAATCTGTCAAAAGCATCTCAGAGTTTTAATCTGACTCGAGATCTGCATCTTGTAATCTCACTTCCAGTGTGATTTAGGAGGAGAAAGCATAAATCTGAGTTCAGACATTTCCATAGTCTACAGTGTTTCTCCTTAAAGGAGCCATCAGGATACTATGTACCTGTTCACAAATGCAAACCTCAGACAGATGCTGAATAATTCATGCACAGAGGCGGACAATGTGCAGCTGTATTTGGGTTATGAAGGTGCAAGGGTTTTCTCTCCCTGCATCATTTAAATTAGGCATTAGTTTGCAGAGAGAGCAAAAAAAAAACAACTAGGCCGCTTAGCAAAGACATTACAACTGAGAGGCACAGAAAACGGGAAACAGGGAAGGTGCAGTTGGGATTTGGGAATGCTGGGAATCATTTGGCAGGAGAACATGCTTTTGAGGCTGATTTTGTTATTATTCCAGACAATTTCTTGAATTCATCCTCATCTTTTTAGTGAACCGATCCAGAGCTTCTTTTGTCTGATAGAAAATGTACCAAGCACTTAGCAGCTACATCCGGCTCCCTAGAGGGTGAGACGATAGAGGGATCTGTTTCTGCCTGGGAGTCTGCGCAAACAGCGGCAGCACCCAGAGAGAGAGGGGGATCTGGAGTTTTATGGCGCTAGGGTTTTAAATTCGGCGCTGCGTCCGTTTGGGGCCTAATGGACGCGGATGGAAACTGACTCCACTGTTCCAGACTTCCCGCGATCCACCAGGCGGCATTTCCTCCCCTCTTTAAGAGCACTGCACATTTCTAACAGCTCGCCAACTTTGGTGCGCACGGATGAGGCGCAAATACGACGTAATTAACCGCGGTCGGAATTAGGGGGGAACAGAAAAAAAGAGATAGTTGGAATTTCAGTTACTCGTTTTGTAATATTTTAAAAGGAAATGTAATCATATAACGTTTAAAGTTTATTAGAGTTGTAATGCCTTTACGCATTCCGGTCAGGGCACAGTGGATGGAGTCCCCAGAGGGCGCGCTGGAGCCCCTCCCGCACCGGAAAGGAAAGCGAGCGCGAGATGGGGGGGTTCACGAGGGGGGGAGAGTGAGGGTTACTTACACCGAATCTGTGTGCCAGTGAGAGATGTTACCACCATAGGTGGAGGTAGCACGGGATCATGTTTGGGATTAAAACCACGGACTGCTCCCTCCGCTTGCGCCCGATGTCACCGTGACGCACACGCAAAGGCGCACCGGAGTCACGTTGGAAGAGATCCAGCAGCATCGGAGGGATCGCCAAGTTGAGATGCTGTTGAAGATCAGTCCGATAAGGATGCTCGCGAGTCGTTGCTGCGTTTGGACAGAAAATTAGACCGAAAATCAGGAAAGAGGCGCGCGAGCGTCTGTGTGGGCTGAGAAGAGGAGATTTTGGCTGAGAACGGAGCGCGAGGCGAAACGGAATTCTTGGTAAACAAATATGACTGCCGATTCTTCTTCTCTGTCTGCTGACATCACCGATAGAATAACAATCCTCGGGTGAATTCTGGAATATAGTAGGTCCTAATTTGTTGGAGGGGCAAAGGCGGATTAAATCCAACTGGCGCATCTTCGTTTCATGCGCGTAATGGGAGAAAAGTTTTGGACCCTGCTGCGGAGACGCGCTTAGTAAATAACATGTGACTCATTCTGTGCGCCACTGACAAAGTTTGAAAGGGAATTTCAAACATCCAGCATGACTTGAAACACCCACAAGGTGGAGGGGTCACCGGAACTCTCATCAAACCAGTTAAAGATTCATCCGATCCAGACGCGCTGATTAATGATCTAGAGCGGCTGTCTTCAGCTGCAGCAGGAGAAAGTCTGATTCCAGTTGAAAACAGAAGCTCCCGTAGGATGTCTATGATGTTGTGGCAGCTCGGACAGAGGTGTGTGATGGAGGTGATGGTGCTGACTGCCCTGTCCTGGGTGTCCGTGTGGGCGGAGGAGAAGATCATATTTGACAGACACGCGGTTTACTGGAACAGCTCCAATCCCAAGTGAGTTTCCCAAGTTTAGCCTCGAGGTGTGTGTGTGTGTGTGTGTGTGTGTGTGTGTGTGTGTGTGTGTGTGTGTGTGTGTGTGTGTGTGTGTTATCCAGAGACCTGAGCATTTGTTAGGTGCACACTTTATTAATTCCATCTCATAGAGTGTAAAACATTGTTTTTTTAAGTTAATTTATACGTTTTTGGATTGATTTCCTTTAAATTAAAAATAAAAATGGAAAACACTTAAAGCCAGGTCTCTAGCAAGTCTTTAATTACATAAGGCTGGGTTTCAGAAGGTTACAATCTTAAAGGAATCTGATTTTTTTCTTTAAATGTTGATTGTTTTTATTTCTTTCTGTTATGTTTTGGCTGAAAACTGAAATGAAGCCACTAAAATCTTCAGAAAGGGTGAATGTGCACACATGCTGGATGCACAAGGAGCTCCTTTTGTCCTGCACAATGAGGGCATCCTGCCTCCTCTTCCCATCCATGTCTAGAGATTTACTCCCCCCTCTTTTACACAAAGCCTTACCTTTTTCCAAGCTTGTGCCAGTCATTAGTTGCACACACAGACACACACACACTCCACACAAAGCATTCAAACTCTCATGTTTAGCTGGGTCTCTCATTGACATGGAGCAGGAGCGCACTGGGTCCATCATGCCTAATGGTTTGTGACAACCTGACCAGCCTCTTTCTCTCCCTTTTTCCCACCCATTCCTCCTCCTCCTCCTCTACTTTTTTACTCTTCTCTCTCTCTCTCTCTCTCTCTCTCTCTCTCTCTCTCTCTCTCTCTCTCTCTCTCTCTCTCTCTCTCTCTCTCTCTCTCTCTCTCTCTCTCTCTCTCTCTCTCTCTCTCTCTCTCTCTCTCTCTCTCTCTCTCTCTCTCTCTCTCTCTCTCTCTCTCTCTCTCTCTCCTCTCTCTCTCTCTCCTCTCTCTCCTCTCTCTCTCTCTCTCTCCTCTCTCTCTCTCTCTCTTCCTCTCTCTCTCTCTCTCTCTCTCTCTCTCTCTCTCTCTCTCTCTCTCTCTCTCTTCTCTCTCTCTCTCTGTCTGTCTCCTTACCGAGGATAGATAACAGTGAAAGTGTTCTCTCTCTCTTGCTTGCTCATGGCTGAATTAGTCCAAGCCCAATGGCCTTGAATCTCCTGCATCACACAACACAGATAACAGGCCTAACTGCAATCATCACCGTTCCACAGAAAGCTTCTCAAATATTTAAAAAGGCAAGAGGAGCATTTTCTCTCTTTCTCAAGAGTCTCCTTTTCCCTGTGTTTCTATTTGTCTGTGTTTCATTCTCTCTTTCTCTCTCTCTCTCTCTCTCTCACACACACACACACACACACACTCACACTCACACTCACACACACACACACACACACACACACACACACACACACACACACACACACACACACACACACACACACACACACACACACACACACCACATTGCATATTAAGTCATATGGAAGGTTGCTGGGGGCGCTGTTATTCCATAAGGGACACCGGGGGAGTTTTAAAGCAGAAATGGGTACATCAAAAATGCATCGCTGCTAAAGCAGTGAGTCGAGGCTCCTGAGCCTGGCAGGGTTTGTTCCTCCTCTTAGACCTTGGCGCTGTCGCTGCTCATGCTGTGCCTCTTTCTGCAACACACAGACAGATAGATCCATGCACTTGTGAGAGTCATCCACTTTTATCTATTCCCTAATTTTCTTTTCAAACGTGATGAACTACTGATTATTTTTTTCCTGCAAGAGAGCAAAAGACCAGGCAATAAAAACACAAAGGAGTTCTGAAAAGATTCAGCATTGTGAGAGGATGTGAAATAGTTAAATTCTAAAAAGTCACATAAACATTACATGTTCTAGAATAAAAGTTAGAGTTTTCTGATTATTATGCAAAGAAATGTCATCCCTCCTGATCCCCTTACAGCCCCTCCTGTCTCATGATTGGATTATTTTTTCTAATCACATATCAAACAGACCCCAGGATATTAAATATTGAAAGTGTTATCTCCCTCTTTGAACTTCTTCCATCAACTACAATGCAACATTATGAATGATGTCTCTAGTGCAGGTAATTCTTAAATGTTCATGTTTGACATACATGTTCAGATCATTTTGGTAATTTAGCCTCCAGAAACTAATGAGCAGCTCAGTAATCCAAGTGCAAAAATGGCACCCAAACACGAGTCTGAGATGACTCATGGAAGAAGAACAGCTGTGAGCTTTAATTGATCGCACAGCATCAAACTCAGCTCATATTCTGTGTTGTCTCTTCATGTGTTCATCAAAAAAAAAAAAGACAACACACAAATGCTTTAGCTTCCACCAAAGCAGCTTGATAAATTGTTGCATCTAGAAGATCACGAGCACTAACTTTGAATTTGTAGAACTGATAATCTCTAAGGATTCTGGGTAATAACGCTTTAGGATTCTTGGGCTTCAAAGACGAGAGAGAGAGAGAGAGAGAGAGAGAGAGAGAGAGAGAGAGGAGAGAGAGAGAGAGAGAGAGAGAGAGGAGAGAGAGAGAGAGAGAGAGAGAGAGAGAGAGAGAGAGAGAGAGAGAGAGAGAGAGAGAGAGGAGAGAGAGAGAGAGAGAGAGAGAGAGAGAGAGAGAGAGAGAGAGAGAGAGAGAGAGAGAGAGAGAGGAGAGAGAGAGAGAGACGAGAGAGAGAGAGAGAGAAGACATGAAGTTTCATACTGTTCCTCAAAACTTCATTTCACTAAGTTTGATCTTTTGTCACTTCGACATAAACAGTGTGGAAAACAATTGTTTTTATTGTGCTAGTGTTTGTTTTTGTTTAACATCCATCCGGACATTAATATAATTCAAAGTTTGTAATTGGGTGTTGATTTTCTTTGTTTTACTAAGATGTGTGTTGTTAAAAAAATGACTATATAACGCTGAATGTTGAATCTTTTAAGTAAAAGTTAATGTCTACATATTGTTATGACTCAGTAAGTGAACATGTCAACATTATGTTGAAACAATCTTATTTCATTCTTGCTACTAAACTGAAATAGTCAGTAAAATAACTACAGAAAAGTTCCAGAATGTTGGAATTAAAATTTTAATATTCTAAGTAACAGAAAGCTAGCTTCATGCTGATTGTGCACTTTTGCAGATGATATGATGATTTATATCAGGGTTACCCAAACGTGCAATGTCTGGCCCATATTTCACTTTTCCATTTAACTAAGTCAAAATTACCTTTAGAGCAGGGTACCCAATCTTTAAGCTAAAAACCGCTACTGGTTTGTGAATCATTTGGTTTCACAGTGTCATAATTTCTGTATGGATTTGTCTTCAGTGCATTTTATTTAGAAAAGTTAGCAAAATTATTTCTATTGCAGAGAGACAATAATAGAAACATGACTATGTTATTGTGTACTGGATGTTAGACAAATATTTTGGCGTGAAAAGTTTCTTTTAGTTAGTGGAAATCAAAACGAGAATGCAGGTTCTTGTTTGACCTGCAGATCCTGGTGATGGAGCCACATTTAAATGGAAAACAGTAATTAAAGACATGAGCGGTAAAGTTATTTAAATGCAATAAGATTTGTTCTGGATAACGTTTGATGCAGTAAAGATGGTGGAAATGGAACGTTTAGGATGTTTAATATGGGTTTAATGAGACTTTAAAGGAAAAATGCCAAGTTTTTTTTTCCTTTTTGGTGCTTGGAATCCTTAAAAACACTTGAATTTTTAATTTTTTTTTAAAACTTTGAATCAGTTTAAGTGTCTCATCCTCACTGCAAGGTGCTGGAAAATCCTCAGAACTCAGCGGAAAAGTTTGAGAAAGTGTAGGAACTGTGCTTTTAGCTTACGTGGAACATTCTTTATTGTTTATTTGTTCTAATCAAAATACTTAATGAAGTTGGTTTAGTCCACCTAGCAGTCCAGATGCTCTTGGATGTGAAACTGTTCCAACACAAATGGTTCTACACTAACCACAGGAATCATGCTTCATTTCTTCTTGTGTTGCAGCATTAATGTGTCGATATTTAGAGAAAACCTTTTTACAAATCTGACAGAAATGTTCAAATTGGTTTACGTCTTTGTGACATTTGGAAAATCGACCATCATCTTGTCATTCGTAGAGTCAACACTCAGCCTACACCGCAACAATTACAGCCCATTATAGAAGCTTTTGTTATACATTTGCATCCATGTAAAGCATTTGTCTATTTCTGCACCCTGAGCACAACATTTTGCTGTTTAATCCCGTTATGTCTCAGTGGTGGGCTCACAGCTCCTGTCATTTCTCCTGCTGATTCTGGTGTTCCTCTGTTCCTTCAATTAATGCGTGTCCACTTCCTCTCTGTTTACTCAATCTCTCTTGGCCCACTTTTGCAGCTCAGCGCATCTTTATGGCATTAATAACCATCCACTCTAAAATCTCTTAATTGTTTTAAAACCTGCTAATTAATTCTGCTGCCAGAGTGTCAGCCATGTCTGTTTAGGAGTGCATTGATCTCCACCAGATTAACCTGGATAAGTCAAGATAAATAAAATAAGTTTCTTCTTGGGGGAGGAGGGGTTCGACAAATCGGTCGAACCCTTTAAATCTGGGGCTCTGACTCTCAGCAGGCCTATCTCTTGCGAGGTCTCCCTGGATAAGAGCAAATGCATGAGATAATCCAATTCAAACAGCTCCAGCCACTTTTGGTCATGGCAGGGAAGCACCTCTCACACACACACACACACACACTCTGTCCATCCTCCTGTTCTGATGAGATACGGGACGCTGCGCGGTAACAAAGTACCATAACATTATTAACATTACATTATCACAATAATGCTTCAACATTAGAACAGGGTCTGGAAATCTCCCACATCAAGGGATTTTCTGCCTACATGCAGGCAGGAATAAACGTGGAACACACACATGTGTACACTTATAGTGTTCACTGGTAGCAGTGAGATCTAGGTCACACACACACACACACACACACACACACACACATACACACACACACACACACACACACACACACACACACACACA